GTCATCAACAAAGAACCTGCATAACTGTTATCATCAGCATACACCATCATTGTCTTCAATCTGTAGGTATGATCATTAGAAGTTAGCTCAGGCTGACCTTAACCCCAAGAGATTTAAGGTTTGGAAAACCTTCATAAGATATTGGAATGAAGAATCTGGAGGGGAGAGTATCAAGTTTGGAGACAAGAGACGCCCACTTGTTGCAAACATAGGAACAGTGAATCAGGGTTTCGGTATCATCTCGTAACTTTGAAAAAGATTGGGAGGACTAATTCATCTGGGAGTTTCTGGAATTTGGCAGTAAGTCTTGTAGACCTTCTTAACGTGATTATGGGGTTCTTGGGACTATACGCGTCTTCCCATGTCTTGAAGATGCAAATTGCAGAGAAGCAGATATCTTTTCTTGTGAGAAGGAATGTGTCACAAAGGATTGGAGTTCAATAGCTATGGCAATTTTATAAGACATGTTAAGCATTACAGCCCAAATCCCTAATATTATCCTCAAATATTAGCGCCCAGCCTGATAAAGATGAGACAAGGCTGCTCCCTGCGGGCCTGCGTTAAGTTTAAAGTCAAGCTATCCTATTAGCCAACAGCCCTGGCTAACAAGTATAAAGCCCACATCTCGTTCCGTTCTTAGAGATCATCTAGCGACTTGCACCAGCCTGGAATTTTAGGGAACAGCTAATATTTGATAAAGGAAGCTCAAACATAATCTTATAGGCGAAAAAGTGCCATCTTCCCCTGCTTTTGCTGCAATAGCGAGGCCAGCGAGGCGGTAAAACACGGTGTTGCCGAAGCAGTGGCAAGTGATAATTTATCATGTTTTAGCCTTTGGCAAACAAGATGGTTTATAAGCAGTAAGCAGTAAAGCAGTAAGCAGATTGCTCTAGCATCAGACTGGAAAGTTGACGTTCATGCCCTGAAACTCATCGACTCTTCCTTTATCTGCACCTAGACGGATTATTGCTAATCTTTTAGCCCTTGCGCAGAATTTTGAGCTTGCTCTCGGTCAGTTTTCCCCTACCGAGACGAGTAAGGTTGCATATTAGTTACACTGTTCAGGTATTCAGATTCCGATGCAAATTGATTTGGAAGCAGATTGTGAATCCAATGCTCCACAGTATTAGTACTTCTTCTTCCAATCTGTAAAATCCGTTCGTATATGTATACATATATCGGTGGTTTAGTTCAATGGGATGCTGAATTCTCTATCAAAGTTGAATACCATTCACATCGGAAGTTACAATCTTCCACACCCTTACAATTTATTACACTTCTATCAGTGAACTAAATAAAAAAAACATGCTTGTAATGTTATTAAGGAGACAACTATTTCATAACACGGTCCATGACACCTCCATCATCAGACTAAATTCAAACACAGTTGTAACAATTAAAGATATACCATTTAACTAAAGCAGTATTTTCTAACTTTAGACAGTAAAGCAAACCCTATAACTTACCATTATACTCTCGAACTACTGTCAGAAGAAATCTGCATTTTCATGGATTTTCATCAAAAGCACGCAGCAACTCATCCACATCTGTCTTCTTTACAATTGATTGCTTCATGTTGCATCTCTCTCCTTCCCATTTATGAATAAGCCACAACTTCTCTCCAAGCCGATACCTATTCTCCTCATGCTTCTTAAGCCAACATATAAGATTCTGCGGATTCTTCAGCCAGCTCTCGTTCAGTCTCGTACTTGAATTCAAAGTACGAAACTTGGCCAACTGTCCAGATTCCATAAACACATTCCCACCTGATCTATACATCTCCTTATGTTTTGGTACATACCGTTCTAATCCATAACCAAGTAACCCAGCACTCAAAATCACCACGCTTCTCAGCAATTTAGGCCGATAACATAATATTACAAGAAAAAAGGACAACATCAGAGGATTCTTGACGTTTAGAACATCCAATGCTTCTGATTCAGGTAATAACATCCCCTCGCCATCACTTGACAACAACCCAACCTCAAATGCCATGCACACTTGAGTGTGCATTTCATCGTTCATATCCATTGCCTTCAGCTGGAACTTGAAGCCATGGGTGCGAGCTATTCCAGAATACCGAGGGACCAGTGAAGGGCAAAGGCAGAGCTCGATTTTGAGAGAGATCATATTAGCAAACACTTTCATGAGGGCAGGAATTGCTGGTTGTGGAATGTGATAATGTGATTTCCAGCATGGGAGATAATCACCTGCAGTGCCCGGATACGAGAATCTAAGGGAGAGTGAGTCAACTTTGGAGACAAGGCATTGCAAATGCTTGCAAACTGCCGAGCAACAAATAAGGGTTTTAGGGTCTCCTGTTTTTTTCAGGATGGATACAATCAATTCATCAGGTAATTGAATGAATCTGCATGATACATCCAAAATACAGTCTTTCTTGATCAATTTGGACACCGACATTTTCTTCGAAAGATTGGATTCAAAGGTTTCAACTGAAATTAAACAAGATAAAGTTTAGTCAAAAACTAAATATGGTTAGTATGGCTTCAATAGCCTCAAAAAAAAAAAAAGTAAAGAGTTTTTCCAAACATAAAAAAATTAATTGAACAATAATGACTAACTATTACATTGATTATCTAAGATTTATACTTATCAACAATCTCTAAGTTTCAGAATTACTTTTAAAATTAAGAGCATGAATAGATACACTTGACCCCACCAGCCAACAAATAAAAAAATGAAAGATTCAGCCGTAGCAAACAATATTGAAACCCTAACTTGAGATAGAAAATGCAAACCCTAACCTGTGATTAGTAATCAGTGATCTCTGAGATTAGGGTTTGGATGGGAGAGATCAGAGCATCGGTAAGTTTCGAGCAGGGTGACGACAGAACCAAACAGACAGAACACAATCTCGTTTGCTTAGCTTACATGGAATGGAAGTCCATCCACACCTACTCACTACATTAAAAGCATGTTGGAAAACACGTGGCAAGCACCCGTTTCACTTGGATATACAGTTAAATACAATTTAGTCCCTCTAATTTAACAAAACTAATTAACTATTCTTTATAACCCTGGATTTTCGAATTATTTTAATTTAGTTCTTCCACCAATTGTATGTTTTATGACCGCATTTGAGTTATAAATCAAAAGTTATTTTTTACATATAACCACCTTTAGGTCGCTCACTCGTCCGCTCGAGATTTAATCTAAACTAAATTTTAGATTAAACTAAGTAGAAATTGGGCATAGTACAACCCAATTCAAATCTAATTTAATTTTTTAAAAAAATACCCTTAAATAACATTTTAAATTTTTAATAAAATATTAAAACATCGGTGTTTTGGATTAGTTTTTAAGTTAATTTAAATTGAATTAACTTACCCAACCTAAGAATAAGCTAGACTGAATTTACTAAGTTACAAATATTTTTTTAACAAAAATATAAAAGCAAGTTTGGTAGAAAAATATTCAAAATAATTTTTTCAAAAAAAAAAAAGGAGAAACAGTACAAGTTAAAAGTTGAGAAGTGTGAAGTAGAAAATTTAAACTTGTGATCAAAACAAAATTTTGACCCGATTTTGTATCAACTTTTTTATTTTAAGTTTAAAAGGTAATTATAATCGATGACTTTTCTCAAATTAAAAAGTTTAAATAAAAACAATAGTATATTTAATTTGTAAAAATCGTTCATGTAAATTTTGCACATAAACCTGTGTGTCGATGGTCTTGGTTTGGTTAAATGAGAAACTGCGTCCTTTATTCATGTTGGAAATCACTATCTTTCACCCCTTTCCAATTCAGTGACAGCTTGTCATTCTCTGTGGGTGACTCAAAGGTGCGACAAGGCCCCTCTCCGTTTCATAGTCACAACACCCAACTTGGTCTCTTACCCTATCCAAAGCAGGCCGGGGTCATGAGTTTTAATAGGTTGTTCAAATAATGTTATTTTGATTAAAAAATAATAATAATAATTGGACATAAAACCCGACCATGGCTAGGTTTTCAGTCACCGAGTTCACTTGCTAGGCCGAAGTGGGTTTTATAATTATACTCCATTCTATTCAAATTATGCATCTATCCATGCCTAATGACGATGTAGGAAAAGGCTTTCAAGTCTGCTATTCTTGCCAGTTTGGGATTTCAAGCATTTCCCGACTATCAACAGAGAAAGTTGATAGACAAAACATTCTTAAAAAAAACAAATGAAAGCCAAACATGCAAAAATGTCACAAAAGGGTGCTTGGTTGACTTCTCTTCAGAATCCTAATCAATTGATTAACCATCTGCAACCCGCTTGAGCTTGATAACGCATATCATGAAGGGGGGGAATAAACAAAGCATTGCTAACTAAAGTGGTAAAAAAAAAGACTATCAGAAACATCAACCATAACATCACAATAAATTAAAGATCAGAATAGTCACATTGCTTATCCAACCACCATAGATCATTGCTGAATTTGAGCTTGTTCTTGGCAATTTTATCTTGCCGAGATCAGCATGTATGATTATCAACTATGCATATTCCGCCACAAATCAGGATGGAAGCAGATTATGAATGCAATGCTCAATAGGAATAGTATTTTCACTCTTAATCAGTAAAAATCGTTCATAAAATTGTGGCACACAATACCTGTGTAAATTGCTGGTTTAGTTCAATGAGAAACCAAGTTCTCAATCAAAGTTGCATGCAATTCACGTCGAAAGTTGCCACTTTTGCCCCTTTTCAAGTTATTACACTTCCATCCTTGAACTAAATTAAAAGAAAAAACATGCTTATTTGCAATAAAGGAAACAACAATTTCATAACACATTCCATAGTTCAAAGTTGCATGCTATTCACGTCGAAAGTCACTACATTCGCGCCTTTTCAAGTTATTACACTTCCATCCTTGAACTAAATAAAGAAACATGCTTGTATTGCAATTAAGGAAACAATAATTTCATAACACATTCCATAGTTCAATGAGAGACTGAGTTCTCAATTAAGTCTCATGTCTACTTTCACGCCTTTTCATGTTATTACAATTCCATTCTTGAACTAAAAAAAAAAACATGTTTGTATTGCAATTAAGGAAACAACAATTTCATAACACATTCCATAGTTCAATGAGAAACTGAGTTCTCAATCAAAGTCTCATGCCGAAAGTTACTACTTCCACGAATTTTCAAGTTATTAAATTTCCATCCTAGAACTAAATTAAAAAAAAAAAAAAACGCTTGTAACAGTTAAAAGATTACCATTTAACTCAAGCATTATTTTCTAATTTTAGGGAGTAAAGCAAACCCTCGAACTTACCATAGTATTCATGTTACTACATTCAGAAGAAATCTTCATTTTCATTGTTTTCATCAATGTCCTCATCGAAAGCATGCAGCAACTCCTCCACGTCGCTCTTCTTTACAATTGACTGATTCATGTTGCATCTCTCTCCTTCCCATTTATGAATAAGCCACAACTTCTCCGCAAGCTGATGCTTATTTTCCTCATGATTCTCAAACCAACAAACCAAATTCTGTGGATCCTTGAGCCAGCTCTCTTCCACTCTTGTCTTCGAACTCAAAGCATGAAACCTGGCAACCTGTTCAGATTCCATAAACACATTCCCTTCAGATCTATACTGTGCCTTATCTTCTGACCCATAACTCTCAGAACTCAAAATCACCATGCTTCTCAGCGTTTTAGGCCGATGGCATAATATTACAAGAAAGAAGGACAACATCAGAGAGCTCTTGACGTTTCCAATATACAACATGTTCGATTCAGGGAAAGAAATCTCCCCATCAGCACTTAACAACAACCCAATGTCAAAGGCTGTACACATATGAGTGTGCATTTTATCATTCATATCCACAGACTGCAGCAGGAACTTGAAGCTACGCCTGAGAGATACTCCATAATAACAAGGGAGTAGTGAAGGGCAAAGGCAGAGCTTAATTTCAAGAGCTTTCAGATTAACAAACACTTTCATGAGGGCAGGGATTGCTGCTTGTGGAATGTGGTAATGTGATTTCCAGCATGGGAGATACTGACCAGCCTCACCCGGATACGAGAATCTAAGGAAGACTGTGTCAACTTTGGTGACAAGGCATTGCAAGCGCTTGCAAACTGACAAGCAACGAATAAGGGTTTTGGCATCTTTAGTTCTTTTCAGGATGTTTACAATCAATTCTTGCGGTAATTGAAAGAATCTGTCAGAGACATCTGAAATACAGTCTTTCTTGGTCAATTTGGATACAGACATTTCTTTCCAAAAGATGGGATTCAAAGGTTTCTCCTGAAATTAAAGAGGACGCAGTTTTAGTATAAGTTAAATATGGTTGGCAAGGCATCAATAATCTCACCTGCAAAACAAATCATAATCTTACAAGGATTTTCCGAAAAACAATGAATTAAGCAATGATGACCGACTACAACATTAATTGTTTCAAGATTTTTTCTCATAAAGATTATAAGTTTCAGAATTACTTTTCACTCAAAAATCAAGACTAGATACACTTGACTTCACCAATCAACAAAATAAAAAAATGAAAGAATCAGCTGTAGGAAAAAGGATTGAAACCCTAGTTTGAATTGAAAATGCAAAACCTAACCAGAGACTGAGAATGACAGAATTAAAAAGTTGCTGCCTCCACCTTCAAGTATAACACCTAGATCTCACTCTTCTCAGGTTCCTCAAGTATCAGTTTAGAGTTGAACTCACACTCAAACGATTGAGTGATCAATCTTTGTGCTCTGAAATTAGGATTTTTGAGGGAAGATATCAAAGCATCGGTAAGTTCGAAGCAGAATGAGGACAGAACCAAACAGAAAAAAGAAATGAAATTGCTCATATGGAAGTTAATCTGCACCTACTACCTGCCATAAAAACATGCAAGAACACACATGTGACAAGCACATGTATCATTTGGTTATACAGTTAAATATAATTAGTCTCTAATTTAGCAAAACTATTAATTATTCTATACTGTCCCTAGATTTTTCAAATTATTGTAATCTAGTTCTTCCATCAATTTCATGTTTTATTACTCAAAGTTTGTTTTCAACTAATTTTTGACTTTGAGTCTTGATTCAAAAGTTATTTTTCACAAATAACTTATGACAGTAATGAGTTTATGTTACAAACAGGTTTGTTAAAAAAACAAATACTTGAAACAACTTTTTTGAAGAGGAAAGTTAGAATTAATAAGTTACAAGTTGAAAATTTGATTAATACAAAATCTTTATTCAATTTTGTAACAACCTTTTGATTCAAGTCAAAAGTTATTATTAACCAAACATATTTATAGCTTTTCTTTTGAGTCAAAAAGTTAAAAGAAAAAAAAAACAATCAATTTGCAAAAATCATGCATTTTCTCCTAAAAACACTAATACGCTCGCTTATCAGTTATGCTATTCAGCTATGCAGATTTAGAAGCAAGTAGATACAGAAGCAGCACGTAATGCCCAATAGAATTGGGATCTTCTACTCTTTAATTTGTAAAAATCATTCCTGTAAATCTAGCACATAATCCTGTGTGTATACATTGGTTTCGATCACTGAGAAACCAGGTGTTTTATTCATGTTGGAAGTCACTATCTTTCACCCCTTTTCAATTTAATGACAAACATCACAGTTTTGTAATTCACTGTCAAAGACTCAAAGATGTGACAAGGCTCCTCTCCATTTAATTAAAGATGTTCTAAATGAGAGTTAAGGCTTTCAAGTCTGTTGTTCGAGCCAATTTGGAATTTTATGAAGTAGCTAATGATGATCAAGAAAGAAAATTGATAGAAAAAGAAAGAAAGAAGAAAAGCAACATGTCTGCAAAAGAGTAACAAAAGGAAGCCTGACTGACTTCTCTTGAGAATTCTACAATCAATTAATCAACTATCTGCACCCTGTTTCATCTTGAGCATGATAAAGTGTATCAAGAGGGCAGGCAGAGCAATAAACAAAGCATAGCATAAATAATATTATACAAGACACAATCAAAACCATCAGCCGTAACATCACAATACATTAAAAGGCCAGAATAATCAACAATGCTTCTCTAACCACCATAAATTATTCCTGATTTTTAGCTTACGCTTGTCAGTTTTCCCCTATAGAGATAAATTATTCAGATTTTTAGGTTTGATTATCAGTTATGCTGTTCAGCTATGCATACTCTGAGGCAATCGATATGGAAGCAGATTGTGAATGTAATGCTCAGTAGGATTAGTATTTTCTCCTTTAAATCTGAATAAAAAGTTCATAAAATTGTGGCACATGATACCTGTGCGTATATTGTTAGTTTAGTTCAAATGAGACACAGAGTTCTCTGTTAAAGTTGCATGCTACTCACATCAGATGTTACTATCTTTCCCACCTTTTCAATTTATTACACCTGCATCCTTGAACTAAAAAAATCACGCTTACATGTTCAATTAAGGAAACAACAACTTCACAGCGCAGTCCATTACATTTCCATCCTCAAATTAAAATCATGCACATTTGTAACAATTCAAGATATACTATTTAACTAAAGAATTATTTTCTAACTTTAGACAGTAAAGCAAACCCTAGAACTTACCATTGTACCCAAGTTACTACTGTCAGAAGAAATCTGCATTTTCATTGTTTCTCATCTTTGTCGTCCTCGTCAAAAGCCCCAGCAACTCCTTCACATCTCTCTCCTTTACATTCAATTTATTCACATTGCATCTCTCTCCTTTCCATTTATGAACAAGCCACAACTCCTCTCCAAGCTGATGCTTATTTTCCTCATGATTCTTACGCCAATAAACCAGATTCTGCAGATTCTTAGGCCAGCTCTTGTTCACTCTTGTATTAAAAATAAAAAATAAAAGGCATGGCCAGCTGTTTAGAATCCACAAACACCTTCCCTTCTTCTGATCAATACCCCACCTTACCTTCTGAACTATGTCCCTGTATCCCAGCACTCAAAATCACTGCGCTACTCAGAGTTTTAGGCTGGTGACATAATATTACAACAGAAATGGATAACATCAGAGAATTATCAATCTTTTCCAGATAGAACCTGTTACATTCATGGGATAACATCCCTTCATCATCACGTGACAAAGATCCAGTCTCAAAATCCATACATAAATGAGAGGATTTTATTGTTCATGCCCTCTTCCATCAGCTTGCTGCGAAAGCATGTCCATGATGCACTCCATAACAAGAAATTAGTGAAGGGAAAGGGCAAAGCTTAATTTTAAGAGATTTCATATTACCAAACACTTTCATGAGGGCAGTGAATGCCGATTGTGGAACGTGGTAATGTGATTTCCAGCATGGGAGATACTCACTAGCCTCACCTGAATACAAGAACCTATCTAAGATAGTGTCAGCTTTGGAGACAAGTCATTGCAAGTGCTAGCAAACTGTGGGGCAACAAATACAAGTTTTAAGGTCTCTTGTTTTTTCAGGACGATTACAATCACTTCATCAGGTAATTCAATGAATCTGCATGAGACATCTGAAATATAATCTTTCCAGGTAAATTTGGATACCGAATTCTCTTTTGCGAAAGATAGAATTCAAAAGTTCCTCCTAAAATTAAAGAAAATACTATTTTAGTCAAAACTAAATACATGGCTACCATGTCTTCAATAACCTCTCCTTCAAAATATCACAAACTTACCGGCATTTTCCAAGCTCAAACAATAATGCCTGGCAACAACATTAATTGTCCAAGCTTTCTTCTCATCAAGAGTACACAAGTTTCTGAACTACTTACGAGAGGGACTAGACACACTTGACCTCTCCAATAAAAAAAAATGAAATGAAAGAATCAGCTGTAGTAAACAAGAGTTCAAAATGCAAACCCTAACCTGTGAGAATAACAGAATTGAAAATAAGCAGCCTCCACTTCCATTTATGATGCATCAATAGCCTCTCCGTTTCCTAGAGAAACAAGTATGAATTGGACTCAAACTCGAGATATTGAGTATCCATCTGTAAGCTCTGAAATTAGGGTTGAGGGGAGAGAACAGAGCATCGGTAGGTTTGGAGCAGAGTGGAGTTAGAGCCAAGCACACGTCACGTATTACTTGGTTTTAGTGTACTATATATGTTAGTCCCCAAATTTTAACAAAACTACTTAGTTAGTCCTTATAACCCCATTGTAATCTAATCTAAGTCGGATTTTGAAAAAATAAAATAAAATAAAAATTACTTTGATATGAAATAATTAATTTGACATCAACTACAAATTAATCATATGTTATTTATAAATTACATGATAAATTTTGTTAATAAAAGAAGGATCTAATGAAAATACAATAGATTACATTATGAATTGAGTTTTCCTTTAGTTAGTGTTGATTTGATATATGGTTTTATTTCAATCTTAATTATATTTTAAGTTTTAATTGATGATAAGAACTATTTCATATATTTATTGACTTTAAAAGTAATTAGATTTTCTAATAGAATCACAATTTATAAAAGACACATAACTTAAAATGTCCAACTAGTATTAATTAATTATTTTATCATTAACATTTAATCATAATTACTGTTAAATTCTCTTGCTAGGATAAGAGAGTTTCGGCTAATTGCTTTTCAATTCCGATTCACGTGCTTAGATGCAAATCGAGTTTTACTTTTGTTTTTCTTTTTCTTTTTCCTTTTCTTTTTCACTCCATCTATGGCCAGCTTTCGATTATGTTCACTTGATATAGTTAACATAAATTTATTTTTCAACTTTTTTGTAAAGTAACATTTTTTACATTATATAGTTAAGTAAAATTATTTTAAAAAAATTCATATACTGCGGTAAAATCTAACTCAATAACCAATTTAAAATATGATTCATGTTATAGATTAAAAGGGTTGATTTCTGTGTTTTTATTTAAAAAATTATTAAAATAATATTATTTTGATTAATGTTTTTAATAAAATAATATTATTTTGATTAATTATTTTTACAAAACAAAGGAATAAATTAAAAGTCAAATTATGAGATTAATCTGATCAATAAATCAATTTAAATATTTAAATCAAAATTTTATTTATTTTCAAGTATAATACCCCTATAAATGATTTGATGACTCGATAGAGCCAGATATCATCCACAAATGAGTTACAGATTGTTATTAGCCATTTGACATTTTCGGAGTACATAAATACCATAGCCATAAAAATGTCAATTTTGTTTTCAATGTTAATCTAATTTAATTAAAGCTTAATTTTAACCTTTCAATTTTTCTGCCATTAATCGAATAAAGTCTCTAAAGGAGAGTGGAAAACTTGGAAGGGAACGAATTTCACTGAATTTCCATTTTATGGTAAATATAATTATAATTATAATTATAATTAATAAATATCCAAACAAGGTAGGCTTCACTTTAAAATAGGAAAAAAGATGTGCTTCACTTTAAAATAGGAAAAAAGATGTGTGTCAATATAATCTAGATAAGTACTGATTTGAATTCAAAGGTTATATAGTATTTGATAAAAATATATCTCAGATAATGTTTCAAATTTATTAAATATACTAATGATAGGATTTAAACCCTTTTTCTTTTTCTTATTTAGATATATAAAAAAGGATAGTACCAAGAAATATAATGTAATAACAAAGAATTTGAGATTTGCATAGCAGAATTTAAGTTTGAGTTAAGATATGCACCTCTTATAAGAATTTGAAACAGCCAAGAATTTATTTATTCATCTAAACTTATAAAATACATTTTTTAAAGAATATAATTTTATCAAATCTTAAAAAAAGAAAATAAGGTTGAAGAGTCACTGAAAATTAGATAATCATTATATTAAATATAAAGATAATGAGAAATGGAATTATTATATACTCTAGAAAATTAGGATTAGTGGTTGAATAACACTTTAATTGTATAATTAAATTAGAGGTGATTATTTTTAATTTAGTTCGGTTTTTAACAACAATAAAAAAATAATTAAACCAAAATTTTTAATGATTGGATAAGCACCATACATGTAACCCACGTATGTAATTGGATGAGCACCATACATGTTCCTTTATCTCCAAATATGAAAATTAAAACCACAAATTAAGAATTAATCTCCAATTTTCAATCATATCTTAGTTAAAAATTCACATTCAAGCTTTCTTGTTTAAAAAAACAATACTATCTAGCCTTGTTTCAGGGGAAAAAAAATCTCAACGCAGCTAATTGTGAAAACACAGTTATTATCATTGTTTTAGTTTTTGTGGATTAATTTGAAACCGGTTGATCTGTTTAGCCTAGTTGTCAAAAAAAAAAAATAGCTTGGAGTTCATTCAGCTTATATAGTACACTCAAAACTCAATCAAAATTTGATGTAATTATTTTTAAAATATTATTTATGTAAAAAAACATTGTTTAATTTCACTAGACCATGTTTGTTTGCATAATCAAAATTTAGTAATTATTTAATTTAATTTAAATAAGAATATAAGTACATTTTGAGTAATTAATTGTCTTAACATTAACAAAAAAAATTAAAAGAGCTTATAGTTTTATCGTAGATTCATTATGGATTCAATTAATATAATTATTATTCTGTTTTTTATTTCTCTTAATAATTGTCTTTGTATTGATAGCATAACTATATTTTTCATAAGATAGAATTGATCAGGGTAAAATTTTCATTTTATGTATTTTACATATAGTAAAAATACTATATTATCCATGGAAGCTAAAAAATATTGGCCTTCAATCTAGGGTATATTACATCTAGACAAGTTTATTTCTATAGTGAAATAATATTTAAAAATATTAACCTTTAAGTGATGAATTGCTATGTCTTTGTATATTTTGTATATTTTATGTATACTAAAATTTCACTTTTGCCCTTTGAGTCTTAAAAATAATGACCCTTGAGTGATGAATTGTTATGTTTTTGCATATTTTATGTATGCTAAAATTTTACTTTTGCCCTTTGACTTTGATAAATTAAAGACAGTCTTGGAAGGGTATTTTAAGGGTATTTTCATATTTATATAATGGTATTTTCATAATATTTATATGACCTTAAGCTTTTTTATTAATTTGTATTATTATAAGATTAATAAATCAATAAATTAGACCTACATGTAGGTACTGTTCATGTCATTCTAGTGGCGTGTAAGGGCATATATGATGATAAAAAAAAAAGATTAATTATCAACTCACCCAACATAGAAAGTGGCGGAACATCTTTTAGAGCGGCGTGTGTTGTCATTTGAATGGCGATTCAGTGACAATTGATCTTTTTCCTCCTCCCTTTCTTTTCACTCTCTCATGCTTCAATAGACGTGCAAAGCTTTGACAAATTCATTTGTGTCCTTCGGTTTGAATTTTTGTAAGGTTTGGTCTTCATTCTTTTTATTTGTATTTTTGTTAAATTTGATGTTTCTTTATATTTGTTTTGTTTTTAATTTTGTCACTAATTATTTAATCTAATTGATTAGTACTTAAAAGTACATTTTTATCATGGTTTTATATCATCATTTTGCACTTGAAGTATCAATAACTCCTTAACTAAAGCATGTTTTTATAATAATATATCTAATAATATAAGATACCTATAATTTGTGATAAATGTCTATCTTTAATGCAGGCCTATCACATAAATGAAAGAATTGATTGATGACTTCAAGAACTTAAATTGCAAGGATAAAGAGATGGCCAAATTTAGAAAAGAGATGTCGGTGCAATCCAAACCGGAACACTGTTTGGTAATTGGGTCATATCTAGAGCTACAAATCTCAGATTTAGGTCCAATTTATATGGATGGAAAGGTAAGACATAGGCCTACAACTTTCATATGGAGCCCAAGATCTAAAAAGGCCATTATCAAGTCCAAATTGTATCCAAGATCTAAAAAGTCCATTTTCAAGTCCAAATTGTAGCAACAACAAAGAAGCCCGAATCTGTCTTCCAGCCCGAGCACTGTTCGGTATTTTGGCCATATCTGAAGTTCTAGAAGTCCAAATGAGCTTAATGTTTTACACAAGATAGCTGAGACAATTGCCTAAAACTTTCATGTTTTCAACTAGCTCCAATTTTGACGTTATCAATGACGTTTTGGGTAGAAAAGAGAAGATAAGGATTGTCACCAAGTCAAAAGTTGGCCACCCACTTATCAATTAGTCATCAAATCAATAGTTCCCAATTTTGGCCTATAAAAGGAGGCATTTGCCATGCATTTAGGCATCTTGGTTTCCAGATCAAGATCATGCTCTTCCTTTCTCTCTTTGTATTTTTTGTAATGTTTATGCTTTACTTTCATTAATATCAAATTTATGCCTTTCATTTCCTTACCTTTACTTAATTAACTTTTATGTTCTTATTTTGTTTATCTATTTTGTTTTTTTTCATTATGTCTAGCTAAGTTAGTTATGTCAAGGTGAAAAGGTTACACTAATGGTGTAAGAATAAGTATAATATAAACTTAATATGGACTTTAATTTTTTATACTAACATGTTTTATATTTGTTATCTTGTTCACTCTTTAATACTTTGCTTGTTAAATGACTAATCTTGATTTATGTTGTATAACACTTGGTACAACAAATGCTTGGCACTTTCATAGCCCATAATGTATGGTATAACCGACACCTGAGCTAAGGAACTTGATTTGTTGTTAACATAAGTTATAATCATGAATGCTTGACGAGATTTACAAGTATTAGCATTAATTGAATAAGATGACTAATGTAATCATGTTAACAATATATAATCTGATTGGAACCTCCTTTGTGTGTGGTTTCCAATTCAATAATAAGAGTTTATACTATACTTGTTTGATATACCATTAATGGAACCTCTAACCTTGACATTTGTTATTATTATTGTTTAATCCTTACATTAATTTTCCATCTCCAAGTTCTCATCATCTTATTCTTCTTCTCTTTCTTTATTATTATTATTATTACTACTACTACTACTACTACTACTACTACTACTATTATTATTATTATTATTATTAGTAGTATTATTAGTATTACTATTATTATTATTATTATTATTGTTGTTGTTGTTGTTGTTGTTGTTGTTACTACTATTGTTGTTTATAATTTGTACAATTAACCTCCCTGTGG